AATCAGAGACTGATAACAAATGACTATTTCAAATAAATTCTGTTCTTCAAAAAAATCCTCATGCATCCTAATATTAAGCACCACACACAATTTACCATATTTTAATGATTCCTTAAGGGTGAGATGATACACTGTTTTCTAAAGAGACGGCTGCTACAAATTATACTTCGCCATCACAGGGAAAGACTAGATTATAAAAAGAGTATTTTAAACAGTAATCATCTTTTTTTATTATGATTAATTAAGCAGTATATTTCAGTAAAAAGAAGATATCAATATCCTTCAAAAATATAAAAATGTCTTAAAGGTCACATATTTTACACCTTTCTGGAGCATTATTGTAAGTCTTGATGTCCTTAAGAATATATATATATATATATATATATAAAGTACTCTCTCAGGAGCTCTGCTGAGAACAGGTCGATTTTGGCCTGTCTAATTAATATTCATGAGCCTCTCTTCTGATTGGCCTGTTGTTTTCTGAGTGACGCACGGCCAGGCCAACCACCACAGCTACTTTATGCAAGCTGTGTGCATTTTACTGTGGACTGACTGTTTTGAAACTTATATGGTAGTTAAATAGCCCCTAGACCTCGTGAAAAAAAGCCAGGAAATTTCAGTTTTGACAATATGGGACCTTTAATGAGTCTTGAGACGTTCACACAGAATGTGTATTAGTATTCCACTGCTTTTGCATTGTTTTCGATGTATGTTTCAATTCAGACGTGACTGAAAGCAGTGACATCTGAGTGTTTTAAGTTTTCCATTCATTCCCAAAGATGTGTTCAGTTTGACCCATTCAGGAAGATTTACGGACCATTAGCAAACAAGATCATGGCAGCCATTACTCCACCGACAGCCAATCACAGCAGAGTGTAGGCGTCGCTTCCTCTAAAGTCATTTCAGTTACAGGACCTCAGTGAGAACGCAATGAGCATATGGGAGGAAAATGAGATGCTGCCTCTCTCTGAAACTTTATCTGCTGTTGAAAAATGACTGCTTTACACGCTATTTGATCTCTTATTTTTTTTTTT